TTTTATCTGCTTGATATATTAATTATTTTCAATATATTAACTACAGGATTGTCGCAAGCCTCATTTTTATAAACAGTTTCATCCTAATGTCTGAAAGCAATAGTTTTGATTATCACAATCCTCTATAATTGTTGAAGCCTTACAAAGGCTTAATCTGCGCATCCAATATCTGTAATAATATATTTTCAAATAAGATTATTAACTTGTATTCGCTTTGTTTATAACAAAAAACGTATGCGCATATGTTATCAACACATTCTTAGCCATACCAAAAACATTCCTCCTTCTAACTATTGGTCTTGGTCGTACATGCAGTTACAAAGCACCTCCACAATTTGTTTTTGTACATAACCCTCTACTTTTTTGGTAGTGGCAATAAGTAGAACATGCTCAATTAGTTTTGAAGGAATTTAATTTAAAAAAATAAATAAATTCATTTTTGAAATAAAGTCTTTTCAAATAAATTGAAGAATATTTGGTCTTAATAGAAAACTCTCCCTGATAGAATTAAACTTAATTTGAAATGATGTGTAGATTTGTAATCAATTATGATTGTTTGCTGATTTAATAATCAATGCTATTTATCGTAATACCAATGGCTCAAAAATTTACGTCTACAGATTCTACAGAAAGATATGCATACCTAATTAAAATATTATTAAAATTAAAAATATTCGCAAACATGAAATAAAAACAAACACCAAAAACTATTTTATACCTTACATTAATTTTATCACTTATTCAACTTACATTTCTTTTGAACTGTTATTCAGTATAAACACTTATATATGGTCGATGCCAGGATTATATCAATTACATGGCCAGATCTATTTGCGTCAAACTAGTAGGGATTAATTAAATAGCATTATTTTTTGAATTATCAGATTTTGCTCAATTCTTTACTAAAGAGCAATATAAAACATTTCTTATATTTAAAGCGAATCTCACCTTATATTAAGGGGCCGAAAATCATTATCAATAGATATATTATTCTCAATGTTATAATCAAAAGACATGTGACCTAGCCATAATTAACGCTACTAGTGTCTCTTTTATAAACATTTTTGAGAGTTGTTAGCCCCAAAGATAGTATTACTTTTTCCATCTATTTGTGTCACTCAACATCTGATGAGCGATTTAACCTATATAGAGTTGTTACACATGTCTACTTAAATGAAGATTTTGAGACTGTAGCAAACTATTTACTAATTGCTGTAAAAATCAGATACATGTGTATATATTACATCTAAATTAAGGCTACCTTTTTAGAGGCTAGAGGCTATATCACCCTATTATAGAGATGACCTTCTAAACTGAAGTGATTGCTAATCTTTTTTTATAACCTAAGTTTTCTCAAAAATCACGTTAGAATAATGGATGCTTGGTATGTCTACTGCTTTTGATAATCTTTTTCAGTAAGCTCTGTCCTTCGCACACATAACCTTATATTAAATTTATAGCTGTAAATTTTACACAACTCAAATTTATTATTAAGAGTATATATATTTTCTGTGTGTGCAGATGAACTATAAGTTACCTAAGACAACTAATCGAAACTTAAGCATTATAATATTTTCTGCTAGACTGTAGGAGTCCGTACATTAGCATAGATTCGAGTTATACCAGGTATGATACTGTGTTCCAGTTTCTCAAATTTTATTGGCAATGAGTATCATCTGCTAATTCAAACTGATGCTCAAATAATGACATAATCTAGTCTGACGAGATGGCTATTGTTTTTATATTCAGGTTAAAATCAATGATATCCTTTATACATTATCCACGAATATCCAACTTAATTTGTGCATCTTCTGCGATTTGTAATCTTATGCATACAGTTTGTATCCTCATGAGAGTAAGCAGGTGTTTCTTTTGAGAGTAAACAGGTGTTTCTTTTGATGCAAATTGAATTAAAGTACTAAAGCGTAGGACTGGTTCTTGTATATCAAATTAATATAAAAATAAATATGGATATTTGCTTGATTATGNTACATGCAGTTACAAAGCACCTCCACAATTTGTTTTTGTACATAACCCTCTACTTTTTTGGTAGTGGCAATAAGTAGAACATGCTCAATTAGTTTTGAAGGAATTTAATTTAAAAAAATAAATAAATTCATTTTTGAAATAAAGTCTTTTCAAATAAATTGAAGAATATTTGGTCTTAATAGAAAACTCTCCCTGATAGAATTAAACTTAATTTGAAATGATGTGTAGATTTGTAATCAATTATGATTGTTTGCTGATTTAATAATCAATGCTATTTATCGTAATACCAATGGCTCAAAAATTTACGTCTACAGATTCTACAGAAAGATATGCATACCTAATTAAAATATTATTAAAATTAAAAATATTCGCAAACATGAAATAAAAACAAACACCAAAAACTATTTTATACCTTACATTAATTTTATCACTTATTCAACTTACATTTCTTTTGAACTGTTATTCAGTATAAACACTTATATATGGTCGATGCCAGGATTATATCAATTACATGGCCAGATCTATTTGCGTCAAACTAGTAGGGATTAATTAAATAGCATTATTTTTTGAATTATCAGATTTTGCTCAATTCTTTACTAAAGAGCAATATAAAACATTTCTTATATTTAAAGCGAATCTCACCTTATATTAAGGGGCCGAAAATCATTATCAATAGATATATTATTCTCAATGTTATAATCAAAAGACATGTGACCTAGCCATAATTAACGCTACTAATGTCTCTTTTATAAACATTTTTGAGAGTTGTTAGCCCCAAAGATAGTATTACTTTTTCCATCTATTTGTGTCACTCAACATCTGATGAGCGATTTAACCTATATAGAGTTGTTACACATGTCTACTTAAATGAAGATTTTGAGACTGTAGCAAACTATTTACTAATTGCTGTAAAAATCAGATACATGTGTATATATTACATCTAAATTAAGGCTACCTTTTTAGAGGCTAGAGGCTATATCACCCTATTATAGAGATGACCTTCTAAACTGAAGTGATTGCTAATCTTTTTTTATAACCTAAGTTTTCTCAAAAATCACGTTAGAATAATGGATGCTTGGTATGTCTACTGCTTTTGATAATCTTTTTCAGTAAGCTCTGTCCTTCGCACACATAACCTTATATTAAATTTATAGCTGTAAATTTTACACAACTCAAATTTATTATTAAGAGTATATATATTTTCTGTGTGTGCAGATGAACTATAAGTTACCTAAGACAACTAATCGAAACTTAAGCATTATAATATTTTCTGCTAGACTGTAGGAGTCCGTACATTAGCATAGATTCGAGTTATACCAGGTATGATACTGTGTTCCAGTTTCTCAAATTTTATTGGCAATGAGTATCATCTACTAATTCAAACTGATGCTCAAATAATGACATAATCTAGTCTGACGAGATGGCTATTGTTTTTATATTCAGGTTAAAATCAATGATATCCTTTATACATTATCCACGAATATCCAACTTAATTTGTGCATCTTCTGCGATTTGTAATCTTATGCATACAGTTTGTATCCTCATGAGAGTAAGCAGGTGTTTCTTTTGAGAGTAAACAGGTGTTTCTTTTGATGCAAATTGAATTAAAGTACTAAAGCGTAGGACTGGTTCTTGTATATCAAATTAATATAAAAATAAATATGGATATTTGCTTGATTATGTCCAAGAATGTACTACATCTCAGAAAAACGATGCTTGCATGAACTTAGAGGATTTTGGTGAGCAATGTCTTTCGATAACACAATTTGGAACAGTGTTACATTTCAGAACAGAATGCATATTTCTTCAAAGAATTTAGAATAAAATGGACATCTGAAATGTTCTACATGCGAGTAGCATAATATCCTTAATGGTGGAATAGAACTTAATTTTTTTTATGTAAATTAAATTTACTTGTATATTTGCAGGTTACTGTTTATCATCTCTTCAAACATATCATATGCAACACTTGTTTATAACCAAACAGTTTAACTAATTCATCAGAAAAAGAATAGGAAGTTTGATTTGAAAAACTCAAACAATTGCAGGAGTAAGTCTGATTTTTATTTCTGTAGTAATAGCCTCCTATTTAAGAAGAGGCATTCCATCTTAACAAGAAAGACATTATCATATGAAGACATTTCTGCTACTGAATTGATATTGTGCAATCTCCCATTAAAACCAATGATGTTTGGCTGCATATAGTAGTAATTTCAAATACTTCAGTTCATAACAATAAATACAATACTAAAATGGGAATTTTAATTTCATAATCTGGAAAGAAATGCAAAAATATTGTCTTAAAGTTGATCTAGACAAAACCTGTCTTATTTGTTTAATTCAAAATACAAGACGATACCTTACAAAATAACTTCGATTAAACTAGAGATAGATGAAATTTGAGATAGAACATCTTACATAGCTAAGAATTCTCTTAACAAACCCATTGTTCATAACCTTCTTCCGTGCCCGCTTATTCAATAACAACAAACACTTTCCCAAACTCTCAGTTTATTTTACACCAATTAGTGTAGAGTTTCCAGTAAAGAATGATATGGCTCTATCACCTTTCAAATGTATTTAACTTGTGTTGTAACAACATTGTTTAGATTTTTGAACGTATTCAGTCAACGTCTTTTCACTGAGTAATTATTTAATTCTACTTAAAGTCTTCCTACTTTATGATTAAGATGGTAAAAATAGCAACCGACATTTTTTATTTTGTTCCAATTCTATTTGTATAAAATAGATATTACCTCTGGCACAATTTATTGTCAACTGAGTGCAAAATATTTTTCAGTTCTAAATCCAGCCAATCTTCTTTGCTAATGATGACGCATAAGCTCAAATTCAGATTTTATAAAGGCACAAATAGTCCTTTTTGATATATGTTATTTAATAATAATAATAAAAATCATTAACTGAAAATGACTTGGATATAGGATTGCGAATAATCTATGGCTCCCTATCTGAGACACTAAGAGGTATATGTGGGAGTCTGCTTAGCATATATTTACTTCTCGATCAGGACTCAACCTTTCAATCAATTTTTTTAAGTTAAGTTTCAGACCAGAGCTAAACCAGTTTTAATCTGCTTCTTTCAACAATCCTCATGGTATATCGATGTAACACTCACCCAGCCAATTCCAAATACTTCAGTGCCTTGAGGTAAACCTTACTGTAAACGGGGCTTGTATAATTGAACCTTCCTTTGATATTCATCCTTTTTTCCCAACAATGGTTTCAATGTTGATTATAGTATGGTGCATTCTGACCAGAATACATTGGCCACAATCTGCAACCTTAAGGTTTTAAATTGTAAAAAAACTATTTATTCCCTATTTAAACTTTCTATCGCATATCTATCTCTTGAGTTTCTCATATCTCTTACATTCATTCTGAGGTACTTGTACGGTTTTACAACTTATCCAATTCTCCCAATAGGAAGCTCTTACGTCAACATTCTTCTGTTAACTGCATCATTTTTCAGTTGGAGTCACCGTTCCTCTTCCTCTTAAATATCTAGGCTAATTCATCTATCCCAAAGAACTAGCTTTGACGACTTAGATTGGGTTTAGTTTGCTCTTTAGAATTGTCCAATCGAAGTAACCTCGCGAAGTCTCTAAATTAATGGGAAGAGACTCCATTTCAACGGGAGATCATTAATCCCTTCTCTAGTTTGTCCAGGAGCAGCTCTAGGGTACTTTCCGGCTTAAGTGGACTTTTATGAGCTAACCTGCTTTTTTGGATCTATAAAATTACAAGTTAATTTAATCTTTTTAAGCTAGATTTTCATTTCTTATAACGTTGAGAAAGTTCAACTTTAGATAAATGATTTATACTTCTTTATCATCTTTGGTATTTAATACTGAGGTTAAAATCTTGTAACGTTGTTTAGCACATAGTCAATTATTTGATAGAGAAGTAGCTACATCATAAGCACTTTGGGTATCAGCATTGGATTCTATACAAAAAGTGATGAAAATTCTAACTCTGAAAGATAAAAATTGCAGATGATTTGATGGCTTTCTGTCATCTACAATAATTATGCTCTGTTTGAAAGCCTACTGACAAATATTTGTTGTTAAGCACTGTTGATTAGGCTGAAGATTTATGCTCGGATTATTTTTACTCTATATTTTGCTCCTATTTATCAAGACCTTAATTCACATAAATTTGTCCATTTTGGAACACTTGTGAATTTTTTAATACATACATCTATATTTGATGCTCAAAATGCATGTTCCCCTATTATCCTTAATTCGTTAATTTTATTCATTCATCTTCATTTCTTAAATCATATCCTTTGTTTCATAAATCGAACTCATTCCCTTCTTTCCCATTCTTTCAATTATACATCTTAAACATAAACATCTATCTTCCTAAGCAATCCTACTTTTAAGACAAATAAACAGTGCTTAATATCAGAGAAGCCTACTAATAAACTATAGATATATTACTTAATACATATTTCATTAACAGATTCCAAATTGTTAAAATTAATGAGAGAAAGGCTGATACAATTTTTTAAGGATTTATTTTATCAAAAATAAAAATAATGTTTTTAGAAAAAATTTAAGAAAGAAGCGAATAAGATATCAGAAATAAAAAGATGATATAAAGAGAGGTTATTTTGATCAACCAAGAGTAAATCCGTTTTGAAATTAAAATCTTAACCTATTACTTACTCTCATTCAATTTAATTTTTGGTATTTATAAACATATGATTGTTGATACTTAAAACTATTGTTAGGTATTTATTGAAGGCTTGTGATTTCGTATATCATAAGGATGAAATTACAAGACATTTGCCTTTTTCAAATCTAACAATAGTTTCTTTGCCAAAATGAATTATTCTTCTATAAAATCATCTATGTTAAAAGGAGAAACCAATATATATATATTATAATAAGGTATCCTATCAAATATTGATATTTAAAGAATACTGACAAGTATAATTTTATTTCTTATGAATATCTACGTCTAAACAAATATCATAAATCTTATAACCGCAACCTCCATAATTTCAATTACTCTAGAAGATTAATATATGATTTGAATGTTATCAAAATTCATAATTAGTTGGTTACATTTCGATTAATTAGGCAAAACTTTCAATAGCCTCTCGATATCTGTCTAAATTAAATAATGTCATTCCTAAAGTGATTAAGTTAGATTGAATTCTGCTTTTTCTCAAATAAGCTTCATAACACATTGGATTATTTTTGATAGCCACATCAAAGTATTCAATAGATTCTTCTTTCCTACCTAGATTGAATAATGTTTTTCCTAAAAAATCATTCTAATTAAACCATACCCATTAGTAAATTTATCAAAGGATGATCCGATGTTATTCCAAGGATTAAGGCAAAACTCTCGACGGCTTCTTCGAAAAGATTTAAATGAAATACAAATAATTGGAAATAAATCTACATATAATATATATCCATAATTATTTAAGTCTAGCATAAGGNGCACTGTTGATTAGGCTGAAGATTTATGCTCGGATTATTTTTACTCTATATTTTGCTCCTATTTATCAAGACCTTAATTCACATAAATTTGTCCATTTTGGAACACTTGTGAATTTTTTAATACATACATCTATATTTGATGCTCAAAATGCATGTTCCCCTATTATCCTTAATTCGTTAATTTTATTCATTCATCTTCATTTCTTAAATCATATCCTTTGTTTCATAAATCGAACTCATTCCCTTCTTTCCCATTCTTTCAATTATACATCTTAAACATAAACATCTATCTTCCTAAGCAATCCTACTTTTAAGACAAATAAACAGTGCTTAATATCAGAGAAGCCTACTAATAAACTATAGATATATTACTTAATACATATTTCATTAACAGATTCCAAATTGTTAAAATTAATGAGAGAAAGGCTGATACAATTTTTTAAGGATTTATTTTATCAAAAATAAAAATAATGTTTTTAGAAAAAATTTAAGAAAGAAGCGAATAAGATATCAGAAATAAAAAGATGATATAAAGAGAGGTTATTTTGATCAACCAAGAGTAAATCCGTTTTGAAATTAAAATCTTAACCTATTACTTACTCTCATTCAATTTAATTTTTGGTATTTATAAACATATGATTGTTGATACTTAAAACTATTGTTAGGTATTTATTGAAGGCTTGTGATTTCGTATATCATAAGGATGAAATTACAAGACATTTGCCTTTTTCAAATCTAACAATAGTTTCTTTGCCAAAATGAATTATTCTTCTATAAAATCATCTATGTTAAAAGGAGAAACCAATATATATATATTATAATAAGGTATCCTATCAAATATTGATATTTAAAGAATACTGACAAGTATAATTTTATTTCTTATGAATATCTACGTCTAAACAAATATCATAAATCTTATAACCGCAACCTCCATAATTTCAATTACTCTAGAAGATTAATATATGATTTGAATGTTATCAAAATTCATAATTAGTTGGTTACATTTCGATTAATTAGGCAAAACTTTCAATAGCCTCTCGATATCTGTCTAAATTAAATAATGTCATTCCTAAAGTGATTAAGTTAGATTGAATTCTGCTTTTTCTCAAATAAGCTTCATAACACATTGGATTATTTTTGATAGCCACATCAAAGTATTCAATAGATTCTTCTTTCCTACCTAGATTGAATAATGTTTTTCCTAAAAAATCATTCTAATTAAACCATACCCATTAGTAAATTTATCAAAGGATGATCCGATGTTATTCCAAGGATTAAGGCAAAACTCTCGACGGCTTCTTCGAAAAGATTTAAATGAAATACAAATAATTGGAAATAAATCTACATATAATATATATCCATAATTATTTAAGTCTAGCATAAGGTAACGGTAGAACTATATATAAATGCATTCTGTAATGAATTTCTTTAACAAATGCTTATTAAATTTCATTTACAAATTATTTAAATTATAGATTCCTCTAAGCCTACTGAATCAAATTTTATGTTGGTTATAATTAGTAAATTTGAAAGAAAGAATTTTCAAAAAGTAATAGTGTTATTTAACTTACATTACATAACTATTTTCATTTTCATCTAAACGAATTATCTCATCACAAGCTTCTAAGGCTTCTTCGTATCTATATATCATAAGTAATGCTCTTGCTTAAATTAATTTATCCTTAGGATACCTTTAACAGAATAACCAAATTTATCAATATCAACAGCGTATACATAATTTGTTAAACCAATTAATACTGCTGCTAGAATTAAAATTGAATTGAAAAAAAACCTTTCAGAATATTCAGCAACTATAAATTCTCACTAAACTTTTACGCTTCTTCATAAATTTGTAAGCCGTAGCACCAAAAGACAATCAAGCAATAAATTAGAAAGGACGAATAAATAGCTAGAAAGAATAAGCTTTGTCATTATTGATTCATCAACTATTGCTCTTGTTGTTTAATAAATTTTGATTATAAAGTTGTTTTCTAAAGCTCAATTTTTTTTCGGTTCCTAGATTAATCTATTTTTAAAGTGCCAAAATTGATCGTTGTATTTCAATTACATTTAGATTGGATAGAACATATGAAGGTGTAACTTCTGAACACTCTTTTTGAATTTATAGTTTAGATCATATGAAACTTAAAGACAGGATGCCAATTTCCTTTTTGTAAAGTAAAGTGGTCATAATAAAATCAAATTTATGACTATGAATATAAAGAATCCTTTAAGTCTAGACAAATATCAGATTTTAAACATCTCATTTGATGTTTGCGTAATAGTCATGAGTCTGCTTCTTCAATATAATAGTAACTTGTTTTCCTAAATTTAAAATATTAAGCCCCCGATTTGAAGCATAAATTAACAAATGAAGTTTTCGGTCATTATTAAAATAACACCTCTTTTTGGATATTTTAGTCAAATTAATTATTTTTAAAATATTCTAGGCTACTATTAATGGTAATCTCACATTGTAATTTGACTATAATTTTTCTTTGCAATTTTATTGGAAAGAGGATAAGTATAAAATAATGAAATTAATTTTATATTTATAGTTTATCTGAAATTAAGTACATTAAATGAATAAACAAAATATTAATTTTAATATTGATTAATAATGATAATACTCATCATTTTAGTCTTGACAACTCATCAAACTATAATTTATGAGTTTTAAGCAAGTTCAAGTATAAGAGATGGTAATTTTTTATAATTACTAATTATTTATTAGAATGGCAAGGCAATTATAATTTCGCTACCTATGGATCTATTCAATATATTTATTTTGATTATATTAGCCGAATATTTTTAGATATAGAACCTCATTCTCAAATTATTGTTGATGTATAACTTATCAGGTAACTAATGTTGGTATTTAAAAGGTGTAATGAAAATTATTATTATACAATAAGAATGCTGATAGATTATGAATAATAAAATTCTTAATAAGTGATATCTTCCTGTAGTAATTATACAGGAGGCTAACCCTGTTTTTTTCATAGCATTTCTATGATTAAGAATCATAACAGAAGAAATTTTTGGATAGAGATTTATTTGACAAATTTGGGATTAATATCATTAAAATTAAGTATTGTGAAATGTTAGTATTAAAGTGCTGGCTGCATAACACAATATCATAAGTTGTGTTAATAATGGAAACTTCACTAATATTCATTTACTGAGAAATTTATCACTTATTCAGAGGGATGGACGTTTGAATTAAATTATTATACTAGAAATTGGTGTGGAAACTGTCAATATTTGGTGTTTTCTGAAATTTAGTATCGCACTCAACTACCTCCTCATTAAGATGTGCTAATAAGATTGTTTAAAGATGATTCAAATCCTATAATAGTAGACTATGCATATGGTAAATAAACTTTTGATATTCTATTAATAGAAATATTAATAAAGAATCATTAGAATTCATTATTCGTTTTGAAAATAACAACCTAATCAACTGGTATTTAAAGCCACATAAGAGATTTTGAAATATTTTACACTTAGCCAGAAGTAATGCTAAACATTTTCAATGAAGGTTGTTTATAGTATCTTGATGATAAATGCCTGACTTGCCTTGAAGGCTGGATTTAAGACGAATTTCTAAAAAATTGTCATCCTATTTGTGGAGATGGTATAATTCAAGGTTAAGAAGAATGTGATGATAATAATCTGATATCAGATGATGGTTGTATTTAATGCAGGTTTTCTTGCCCCAACTTTTGCAATTTATGTAAATTTGGAAAATGTTTACACTGTTAATCAAATTATCAATTAATTAATAGTAGGTGTGAAGAAATAAATAAAAATAATGGTTTCAAACCAATGAATTAAAACTATTATACATTTTCTGATTTATTATTTTATGGAAATTATTATCACTTATTATTGCAAGATTATTTTATTAATCGAAAACCATCTGATATTTCTGATAATGGCTTTTAAGCATTTGAAATTTTGGAATCGTATTTTTCAAAACTTTAAGAGAATAATGGAATAATGATATAGAATTGCTTAAATAGTTTATTTAAAGTATGTTTAGAATGCTAACCTTTTTATAAGTTATCCTATAATAAGAAATATTGCATTCCTATTTGTAATGATGGAGTTGTCGTAGAAAATGAAACCTGCGATGATTATAATAATATACAATTTGATGGTTGTTATCAATGTTAATTAGGTTGCTAATTAGAGTGTAATTAATGCATCTAATAGTAATGCTACTCTTGTATCGATGGTTGGTAGATTATCGATTATCGATGTTACCAAATATGTGGGGATGGTTATTTGGCTATTTCTTCATCAGAGTAATGTGATGATGGAAATTATCAACCTTATGATGGATGTTACAATTGTAATTTCGAATGCAAATGAAATTGTCTTTATTGTGATAGTTCTAATAATTGCTTAGAATGTTAAGACAATTTTGAAAAAAGTGATCAAAATTACTGTAAACCTATATGTGGAGACGGAATAATCATTGAAGGATTAGAAGAATGCGAAGACTTAAATGATATTCAATATGATGGCTGCTATTAATGTTTTTTTTAATGTAGTCAAAATTGTTCCAAATGTAATTAAGGGAAGTGCTAAGAATGTGCTGAAGGATATGACTTAATTATAAGTGAATGCAACTAAGTAATAATTATTAATGATAATTAAAACGATGGCAATAAGGCAATCTAAAACTAATGTGGAGATCAAATTCTATCTACTAAAGAGTAATGTGATGATGGAAATCAATATAGTGGTGATGGATGTTCTATCGACTGCAAAGTAGAAAAAACGTGGAAATGTAATTAAGAGTAGCCTAATTAGTGCTTTATATAAACTAAATTTGTCTTAAAATACGAAAATCAAACTTACGAACATCAATTTATTTTCTTATAGTTTTCAAATGAAGTGAAATATGTTTCAAAAATAAGTTTTCAGGATTCTATTTTAGCTGAAATAACAAATTTAAATAAAAATTAATATCAAATAAAAATCAGTTCTGTAGTAAATGTTAGTTCAACTGAGTTTACTCTACCTTTGTTTGAATTTGATGTTATTATTTTTGAGGTTATGACAACGTAACCAAATTTTTCAATTTCCATCAACTCAACTTTAATTGACAATAACGATATGCCTGTCTCTATCTCATCATAATATTTATTACTAAATGAACCTAAAGTTTTGACTTAGATTTAAATTAAGGTTGCTAATAGGTTTTAAGATATAGGAAATGCTTTAATTATAGGTTTAGGAGCTATTAGCATATTGATGTTATTATTTGGAGATCTATTACAAAGCTTAGAAATTTTTGACATTTTACAATATTAATCTTATCTGAAATTTGTAAACGTTTCTTATCCATAAAATTTATACATCTATTTTCAATCATCAGAAATTGTAACAGTTAGTCCTATATTGATATCATGTAAAATAATGGAAATTCTTAATAATCTAATTCCTTATAACTTTATTCCAAGTATAGGAAAGCTTAAAGAGTATCAAATGAATGCTGACTTTCTTTTAAACATCTAGAGCTAAATCTCTTAAATTGCTTTTATTGTTATATTATACCTATTTCTTAAATTTTATCCAAAGTTCTTAAATAATTTTATTTTTACGCCTAACAATATTAATGCTGTAAGATAGATGAATTAAAAATGGCTTGAAAAGCTAATATCTAAAATCTATCAACTTAATAAAAAAGTCCTAAATTTAAAAAATATTTATTCTATGGAAGGATTTAGGTAGCTCTACTATGCAAATTCCTGGGATTTACTTTTTAAAGCATTTCTTTATATAACATCAAATGCATAATCAGGATATCGATCTATTATTTCTTACAGCATTTGTTTTGCAGTATTGGGTTTGGCAATTATTTTTCTGTTGTAAAATTTTAGAAGATTGAATTAACATTCAAGCAATTAAAAATTAAGATTTGAATAGTATGAGGGCATCATGTTATTAAAAAAACTATTATTTATCTTAATCTTAATTGATTTTTAAAATAGCGAGGTAGTTCAATGTTTAATGTTATCACTGTTGATTTTAGGATATATTGGATTGTTATCACTGATAAAAAAAAATATCAAAAAGATAGAATTTATTGGAATAATTTGGATGGAAATTCCAGTAATTATCTTTACATTAACAAGTTTAATTTATTGCTCTGATTTTTCAGGCTCTATGGCATAAAGTGAATAAATTTTAGCAGGTTTTTGCCAAATTGTAATCTTGATTCTTGGTTTATTGGGGCCGTTAATCAAACTTGGAATTAAGCTCTGCATTGAAATCAAATTATTTTATCAAAAGAAAGGAGAAAATCCATTGTTCAGACTTAATGTATCCAATATCCTTCAACACGCAGAATGAAATTAGATTAAATATTTAATAATTATAAAATATATAAATTTATCAAAAATTGTTTCTATCTTTAGGCCTTACTAAGACCTTAACAACATTTTATTATTATTTTGGAAGTAAGACAAATTATTTCTAACTCTGTCATTTCAAATCTTAACAAGATTAATTATCTCAACCTTTCGATAAGATTTAGAGATTAGTCTAACTGAAAATAAACACAAATTAACTCATACGAAATTGTATTATCCCTTCTTCATAAATCTAAATCTTGGCAATAAATTGTCATGATTCATTATCCAAATCAAAATAGATCCTTGAAAATCTCCAGATATCAACTAATTTGATTTTTTCAAGAAATATAAAGTAGAGACTTTTTTATCACCTTAATTTAAAACTTGTATTTATTTCACCATTCCTTGTCTGAATTCATATATTTTTATTAAACTGTCACATCCAGTTGCTACAATTGAGCAATCTTGATTAAAAACAACTGCCATACAATCAGCCTCTTATTTGATGGAAATTTATTTCATGAGTTCAAATTTGAATGTTTTAATTTATTAAGAGGCTATTGTTATTCTTAAATCAATTAAGCATTCTATTTAACATAAATCTTTTATTAATATATCAAACTATGATAATCCTAATTAAGGGATCTAATTAATATTAAAGTTATAATAAGTGTAGAACTAATTAATAAGGCTATCAATAGAAACTTTAAGCTCTTGGGCATTGTTATAGGCATTATTGTTGTAATGATTCGTTATTAAATCCATTCATTTATAAGATCCAATGAGGTTAACATTTGAAGATGTTTGGCATGAAGAGGCAAGCAAAAATTACTATAGGGTCTCTGATTTGCGTATTCTATTTTATTAAAATTAATATTAAAATATATTAAATTATATTAATCATTTTAATTAGCTGTCTTCATAGTGTTAATTGCCTAATGACCAAATAAGCTTAACATTTTCCATTTTTAAGAAATTTTGAGCAGCAATTATCCAATATTTGAAACATAATTCTAAGCGCTTATAATTTGAATATGCTTATGCTATTAAAGAAACAATTTTTCATTTAAGTTAGATAGAAGAAAGCATGATAAGAACCTTTTCTCAGATATGATCGACATAACTCAAATTAGTTAATATTCCTTCTGTAAGAAAATCTGGTCTCAGATAAATAAACATGACTAAATATATTTAAGGAATCTTATCCTTAAAAACTATTTAATCTCTTGGTTAACAATGTTTAATTGATCACTTTCGGCTCATGAATTAATTATTAAATGAATTTTCAAACCTAATCTTGGGCTGAGATACAAAGTTAGACATTACAGCATGATCAGAATCCAAGCGAAATTGAGTAAATTCTATTAATTATAAAAAGAAAGATTCCCCAGTCACGCAACATCTCATCAATAATTAAAGCGTCAAATAATTAATTACATGTGTTGAAAATGAAGACAATTATTTTAAGAATTTTCCAATTAAAACAAGCCTTAATTTATTAATAGCATTCAAACTAAATTATAAGATGAAAGCTCTAGAGATTTATGATAACTTGACTATTAACAATTAATAGAAATTCAAACATAAGTAAAGGAACTTATTTAGTCATATATAAATAATTTGGAATGAATTTTAGCAAGCGATTAAAATTACAATCAAATATTATACTGTCTTAACAACTCCTTACTAACTCAATTATTATAGTATTTAGTATAATTTAATCTATCTCTCATATAAATGATGCTTTTGCTCTATATTTTATGTTTATCCAAAGAGAAAAAGTTTGTTTAATTAATATGTGGCAAGAAGTATGCAATTGAAATTTTTAGTTGCAATTAACAGCTTTTATATTCTATGATATCAGAACTGAAAAAATACAAGATACAGCATTATTTTTATCATTTAGATAATATCAAACTGAAACCATGTTTCATAAATGAAGACTTAGAATTGTGTAAAAACTGGAATTTGCAAGATGATCTAATTTAGATTTCACAAATACGTATAATGGGATGCGAACTTCAAAAAGAAAATTTTAGACTTGGAAAAAGGAAATAGGAAGAAGCTTCATAAGATTATCCAACATACAACAAAAATAAGGAGAGACAAGGAAGGTGTTATTTTGAATATCATGAAAGGAAGTGAGGAGAATTAGTAAGTCAATAATAACAAAGAGATTATTCATTAATGTATTGAGAATGAGAAAAGTTTCTGTCACTACAATTGAAGAGAATTATAACTCAAGGCTATGAAGGGTTAAAATGAGGTTAGAGGTAGGAGATATTGAAGAGGATGATGGAAAAGTTGAAGCAATTGGAATTGAGAACTTAATGAATCGTAAGGATGAGTACATCTAGTGGTACAATAAAACCATATTTTCGATTTTACCCACCTAACACCAGTGAGACTCCTTATCTAGAGATAATTTAACGAATCGTTACTCAACTACAATTTATTCGATATAGAGACTTGGAAAAGAATGATTTCTGTTTGGTATAAAGGCTCATTCCCATAAATAAAATTGTGCCGAAAATGGAGAGAGTGGAAGACGTGAGATCAATTATGTCCAGAGACACCTGATCAAGTTTATGGAGTGAACTTAGATGCAAACTATCAAGGAAATCAATAACATTCTAGTTGAACAGTGCCAAATTGGATTTACAGAGAAACTGGGAACAAAAGTTTATATCGGAGAAGTCTTACCAAAATGAAAGAGAAGGTAGAGAAGATGATATTTATCTTCTTCGACTTATCTGATGCTTGTAATAGGGTTGACTGTGAAATCCTTAATGACTTTCTCATTGAAGAGGGTCTTATGTCTAAGGCCAAGACTGATTTATTAAATATTATAAATTTTCATTATATTTTAATATATTAATGATTATAAATAATAATCAATTTTCATCGTTTTGTCGTTCAATTTGGTTCTCTAAAATGAAACTTCCTCCTTGTTTAAATAATGTCCTCAAGTCTATACCAGATTGATTA